TAGCAGCCTATAGTCCACACAGTCACAATAGAATTGGACAGGACCTAGTGACTAAGCATGCATGCACTACTCTAATGCTAGCATTATTCTGCTTTAGCAGGAAAAATGAATTATAACCCTTACTGGACCCATAGCCTGGATAAGTGAGGAAATCTTTTCTCCCTTCAAAACTTTCAAATACCATTTGAATGACAGAAAGGCTTTGGACTCTTCAGTCTGGAAACACAAACCCAAACTTTCTACTTTCAAGGCACTGACCTCACTTCTCTTTCATCTGACTAGTTGGTTCCTCTCACCATCCAGTTGGTTGCCTGCATCAAACACTGGAATCAGTTTACAATCATCCAAATCTGCCAGTTCTCCCTGGCATCTTTTCAATCTCTTCACGTGGCACGCCGGTACTGGTCCCTCATTCCAACTTCTCTGACCTTCCGTGCTGGTCCTGCAAGCAGCCTCCTCATCTCAACCTGGCTTGAGTGGGTATCCATTCCCTTCTCCAGGGATCTTCCTGACCCAAGAGCCAAACCCAGGTCTCCTGAATTGCAGGCAAATTCTTTACTCTCTAGGCACCAGGGAAATCCTGCCTCTCTCCTGGTTGTATTATATTAAGTTGGCCAAAGGGTTCATTCTGGTTTTTCTATATGATCTTACAAAAACCCAAAAGACCTTTCTGGCCAATCAAATATTTTAAGGCCACTTAACAGCTTGTTTTAAACAAGCTGTTTTTTCAGTCTTCTCAGTACTCTGCAGAGAAAGCAGTACTGCAGTACTTGGTGCAGTACTTGCAGAGAAAGCAACAGAAACCTTTCAGAGCAGGAGAAATGTTTCAGAGCATACCGATCTGCCTCAGTGAAGTTCCTCTCCAAATGTACCACTTCAGTTCAGCCAGTCAGCCAGTCAGTTCAGTTGCTCAGTTGTGTTCAATCCTTTGAGACCCCATGGACTGCTTGGACCACTTCAAGCTGCTGCTTTACTTTTAAAATGAACAATTAAAATATGAGAAGAGCCATACACAGTTTCTCCTTCTTTCATATGCTTAACAGGCACCATAGTTATACCTAAGGCCGCAGTAGTTTAGATCTCTGGTTTACAATCAAAAAATTCATGATTTGTGGATAATGTTAGACTGGGCTTACCTGGCAGCTATGTTAGGAACAAAAATCCCGCTTTCATGTTCTTCCTCAAATTTTCTCTAACTTCACACCTCCTTCAACATTGACCATTCCTTAAGGATATAATCCAGATTTGTCAATGTGTCACATGAGTCCCCTGACAATCTGACCCTAAATTATTTTACACACCCCAACTACACAGCCAATGCTCCAGGCAAGATGGACTACTAGGAACATTCAACTCTCAGCCGCTGTCTGGAAGAACTCACTCATTCAAAGCCATGCTTTTGAAATGACATGCCTACTCCTCTAAAACTGCCCATTATTCAGGCATCTCTCAGATTTCAGCAAATAAGGAGGTATGCTTTATGCCTAAGGCACTGGAAGGTAAGGAAGCATTACCAAGTAAACAGAAAAAAAGGTCAAAAGGGAAAGTTGTGAAACAGTGAAGTGTTCAAGTATGTCATTTCATATCTTTGAAGGGACTTCATATGCTCCTGGGGGCTCCCCTGGTGGCTCAGATGGAAAAGTGTTTGCCTGGAGACCCGGGTTCAATCCCTGGGTCGGTAAGATCTCCTGGAGAAGGAAATGGCAACCCACTACAGTACTCCTGCCTGGAAAATTCCATGGATGGAGGAGCCTGGTAGGCTACAGTCCATGGGGTCACAAGGAATCAGACATGACTGAGTGATTTCACTTTCTTTCTTTTCTTTCTTTCTTTCTTTCTTTCTTTCCTTTCTTTCTTTCTTTCTTTCTTTCTTTCTTTCTTTCTTTCTTTCTTTCTTTCTCTCTCTCTCTCTCTCTTTCTCTCTCTCTCTCTCTCTCTCTTTCTTTCTTCTTTCTTTCTTTCTTTCTTTCTTTCTTTCTTTCTTTCTTTCTTTCTTTCTTCTTTCTTTCTTTCTTTTCTTTTCTTTTTCTCATCTGCTCCAGTTTTAGAAAATGAAAACATTGATTTAAAATGTACATTACTATCTGTTTGTTCTTTAAACATTATATTGAGTTTTATACAGGGATAATAGCCTTTGAATCTGCTGTTAAAAAAATGTTTTAGATGTTTATATTTTTCTTGTATTATTCTGTTTCTGTCTCTTGTGAGGAAACTTACCATGGCAAAGGAAAAGGAAAGACTGATATCATGAAATAGTATGAATTTATTGTCCAAGATTAAGCATTTCAACATATTACTATTACATTTATTACCTAATAACATCATTTCAATAAAGTATTTTCTCATCTTCCCTGATAGCTCAGCTGGTAAATAATCTACCTGCAATGTAGGAGACCCCGGTTCAATTCCTGGGTCAGGAAGATCTGCTGGAGAAAGGATAGGCTACCCAATCCAGTGTTCTGGCCTGGAGAATTCCATGGACTGTATGGTCCATTGACATGTATAATCCGTAGACATGTATATTCCATGGGGTAGCAAACAGTCGGACACGACTGAGTGCCTTTCACTTTCACTGAGGTATCAACATTTGATGCAAGCTTCTTAAATGTACTAGAAGTTTCTATATCATGAGGAGGGACAGTGAATGTCATGAAAAATGGTAAATGAATTTGTTAGCATTGTTATTGAGTTGCTAAGTCGTGTCTGACTCTGTGAACCCATGGACGGTTTGTGCTTATTTCCAGAAGGATTCTTCAAGTAACTGACTGGGCTATACTATCATTTAAAGAAGAAGGCTGCATCAGCCAAACTTTAAATAATACACTCTCTAGGTCAAAGAAGGCATAAGCTCCTAAGATGTGGAATCAAACAAACAAACAAAAAAAAATGATCAGTTTTGTGAAATCTCAAAGATTTTTCAAGATTGAAAAATCTGTTTCAATTTCCTTTCATTCACTTAGATTTTTACATTTCCAAAATAAATTAAAAGCTCTTGAGCTTGTTATCTTGGACTGCTGTAACAGAATACCATAGACTCAGTGAAATAAACAACAGAAATGTATATCCTCACAGTTTTGGGGCTGGACATCCCAGATCAGGGTACCATAAGATCATGTTCTGGTAAGGGCTCTGTCTTCCCAGCTTGGCTTCTCCATGTGTCCTCACAGGGTGGGGATGGGGAAGAGAGACAGAGACACAGATACAAACGAGAAAACTCTCTGGTATTTCTCCTCATAAAGACACTAATCCTACTGGATTACTGTTCCACCCTATGAGCTCATTTAACCTTAATTAATCTTCATAAAGCTCCTTTTCCAAACACATACTCTGGGAGTTGGGGCTTCAACACATGAATTTGGGGGAGACACATTCAGTCCATAACAATACCTGACATAAAGCACTTTGGGGAAGGGGCTGGAAAAAGGAAGCAAGTTGAATCTTTGGCTCTTCAGTGTCTCTCTGGGCATTCTTCACATGCACACAGTAAAGACACAATAAATGAGAACTGCACTACAGTGAACTGGGTGTATGGAATATGTTAAACAAAGCTAAATCCTTGTCATGAAAGCAAATAATGACAGTTTTTTAAACACTACAAATTTTTGTTATAAGATTTGCGATGAATGAGTTTACTACATTTCTCCAAAGAAGACATACAGATGGCTAACAAACACATGAAAAGATGCTCAACGTCGTTCATTATCAGAGAAATGCAAATCAAAACCACAATGAGGTACCATTACACGCCAGTCAGGATGGCTGCTACCCGAAAGTCTACAAGCAATAAATGCTGGAGAGGGTGTGGAGAAAAGGGAACCCTCTTACACTGAAAGAGAGACACAGATGTATTGAAGTCTTTTGAACTCTATGGGAGAGGGCAAGGGCAGGATGATATGAGAGAATGGCATTGAAACATGTAAATTATCATATGTGAAAAGAATCTCCAGTCCAGGTTTGATGCATGAGACAGGATGCTCGGGTCTGGTGCACTGGGATGACCCAGAGGGATGGGATGGGGAGGGAGGTGGGAGCAGGGTTCAGGATGGGGACACATGTACACCCATGGTAGATTCAAGGCAAAGTATGGCAAAACCAATACAATGCTGTAAAGTAAAATAAATAAATAAATTTTTAAAAAACCTCATGGAACACACACACACACACACAAATAATAATAAGTTTAGACCTAAAATAGAGGGTTGTTTTAGAATTGGAAATAATTATTCTCTTTCTGATGAAGTTACTTTGAAGTAGTGTGTAAACTTTTAGGTCAATCAGGTAGTCCACAGTAGAGCAGACAAATGATAAAAAAAAAAAATGGTGCTCAATGTTTCTGTTAAATTCACATAGTTCTTTATATTCACTAGCTTTTCTTTCATCCTCCATTAAATTTTTTTAACTAATTTATTTTTATTGAAGGATAATTGCTTCACAAAATTTTGCTGTCATCCTCCATTTTTGATTGTCATCTTTTTTCCAAATCTTCCAAGTAATCTCTTTAAATGTTCACAACTTCCACTAAAGATTAGTTTTTCTCTACCCATGTGTTAGCTAGTTTTTATTGTTCTTATTCTCAGTCCATTGCTTAGCATTTCCTAGAATGTTGTGCCATGTCTTTCTAACATTTTGTCACCATCACCAACATTGTATTCTGCATCTACAATGAACATGAGGCTATAGGTGTGTGGATTCAGAGGTCAGTCAAAGAAAAGTTATAACTTTATAACTCCTATTAAGAGAGCGTACTGGTTTCAACCTCAGTAAACAAGAGATTAAATGTTTATATATTATCTCTATAAACAAGTGTCTATAGATACAATGGAAAGAAAAAGTAGGAAAAAGAATGACTTTCAATTTTTATGTGACCCTCAAAAAAAAATTAGACATCTATCAAATGTGTTAATATTCTGGTAATGGGTTCATTTATTGAATGCCTAAATAACTCTAACTCTGAATTTGCTTGATCACTTTCAGAATAAACAGTATGCCCAGGGCAGAGACTTACAGCTCTTCAACAGTTGCCACACCTCCTCCCTCCACACCACTCAAAACAAATGAGCAACTGAGCAGGCAGAGGTGAGTCTTTTTGCCCAGTTTATCACTCAAGCAACTGAGACAGTCCACTTGTGTTGCAAATCTTCATATCTTTAGAGGTTATGGCAACCACTCATGCAGAGAAAAGTGGAAGAAAAATAAGCAATCAAAGAGCAATTACTTCTGCAGTTGATAAACTATGAATAAAATCAAGTGATGACTAAATATCTATAGCAGCAAAATAAATAACCTATCTATAAATTGCCCATGAAGTATAAACTAAGAGCTTACATTTTATAATTTTACAGCTTTTACCACCTTCAAAAAATTTGGCATACACATAGGAATAACAAAGAGGTTTTTAGGTCAACTGCTGTGAGTAAAAATCACATGTTACCAAGCATACTGAAGTATACTTATTTTAAGAGATTGTTTCTTATGGTTGCATAGGAGGAAATCCTTATGAGGTGGGTGCTCATTTTGCTGGTCTCCTGGAATGACCCTTTGCATCACCTAGTCACAAAGCTGCAGCTCTTCCATCAAAGGCCAAAGAGATTGAGGAAGACAACAAAGTACTTCAGGAAGACATGGAAACTATAACTGGTAAGGTGAGCAGCCTCCTGAAGGTTTCCTTGCTTTTCTCATGAATGAAAGAGGTGACCTCTGTAATGAGGAATGTATTATGAGATTTCTCACTTGGCAAGAACAAGATTCAGGTCTTCTGTATTCTAGATTGCTATTACAGGAAGCAAAAGCCTAGTCATTCATAGTGACAGATTCTCCTGTAAGTGAATTAGAATGCCACTGCAATATTTGACAGGTGCAGCCTTCCCTGAATTGCACACAATTCCAAAAAAAGTGTGCCTTTTCCTGGTCACAGTTGATTGAAATGTTTTAGAGGGCAAGAGAACTACAGAATAATTTCCAAGATAAATGCTTTCTTGAAAGTATATCCCAGTACATTCACTAGTGAAATTCTGTTAGTATATTTTCTTTGCCATCCTCAAACCAAAAGAGAGAGAGAGAGAAACAAGAAGAGAGAAAGTCAAAACTAAACTCATACTTGAGTTCTGCTTCTAGTTTTTAGATCACTAATAGATATCTGATGTGCTGGCTATAAAACACATGTCTAGGGAATTTCATGTCTCTTCCCCTAGTCTTAATTTGATAATTAGATGGAACAAAGAGCAAATACTAATAAAACTCATAATGTATTATCTTTTGGTGCTTAGATTCATCCTGGAATCAAGAAGAACATGACTACTGCTTGTGGTCAGGACTCCCATCACTGCAGTAAAAAGATGCAGATGCCTACCAAACTGCTTTTAATAACCTGCTCTTGTGCCTGTGCATGGATATAAATAAGATTAACACTTACCTCAGGCACCTGAATTGCTGAATCATCTACAAGAAGTGCTAAGCCCATATCCCTCACATGAACTTCTGAGATGGTTTTTAATGATCTATCCCGTAGCAACTTTCTTTGAGTTTTGCATCTTTTTCATGCATGCTTGAGTACAACATATCTCATCTTAAAAAATTAAAAAATAATCTGTAGAGATGTCAAAATCTAAGAGGGCAATTTTTCAATGTTTATTATTTTCATTTAAGAGAAAAATCAAAAGAAAATCCATCCTTATCATTGAGAGAATGAAGTTCTGATCAAAATTTGTCACAGGTAGGAGAAGCTGGAATTACAAAGAAGACCATTAACAGCTTACTTTAGAATCTTAGCAAGTTATTCTGTGTTAATTTATTAGATTATTATTTATTATGATGGTTATCTTACCAAGAAGACTGAATTCTCAGGATTCTTTATGAAAGTCAGCCAGGTACTGTCAACCAAGTTTCACAGTGTTACAACAGACAGTAAAAGTGCTTTGTACCTGGGTATCCAAATAGCATAAAATTTACAGTTGTCTAAAGATTCTTAGGATTTTGTCTTAGTCCTTCTGGGTTGCTATAACAAAATGACAGATTTATAAGCAATAGAAATGTATTTGCACAGTATTTGCACAGTATGGTCAGGCAGGGCCCTTTCTGGTCCCATGCTTCTTACTGTATCCTCACATGGGGTAAGTGTTAGGGAGCTCTGTGAGTCTCTTATACATAAAAACACTCATCTCATTCAGGAGGCTCTGTCCTTATAATTCCATCACCTCCCAAAGGCCCCACTTAAGAACACCACTTAAGAGATAATGCCAAACAAGGTGCAACAGTGGATTGAAGTACAGCTAGGAGCCATCTGAATGTGAGGGCAAGGAGTTTTTGGATTAACACAACTGCAATGACTTTATGATGGAGTGTTGAAAGGCTGATGAGATATTGACATGCAAACATAGGAAGACAGTATATCTATCAATTCATTTAAGATCATCTTAAGAAATACATATCTCCTACATCCTGGACAAGGCAACTGAGATATTAATACATATAGTATTTAAGGTATCAGTGAATAATCAAGTCTGACCAAAACACGTATTCATTTTTTTTAAAACAGACATGTAATATTTCTCATTATTATGATCCCAAGATACTCTGTGTATATTACTATAATGTTAGAATGGAGAAAATCTTATAAAGATTGCTTATGTATTAGGGAGCATCATTTTTGTCAGTTTGGAGAGTTTGTACTTATTCTACAAAACAATAGGAAACCAGGAAATTTTAGTGCAAGAGTACAGTATGTCCAGAATTGTAAAAGAGAAACATTAACCTGGATTGTGGTCTTGTGGGTAATGGGGCTGGTAGACAAAAACAAGCAGCCAAATAAGCTTGGAATATTATGACACTAAAGGAAAATCAAAAGGGCTCTGCCAAGGGAAAAGAAGCAAATGTTGTGAAAGATACAGGGAAAGAAAGAGGCCTTGACCATACAGCAGGAATAAGGCAGACATGAGTCAAAAATTCATCCAAGAACATGGGAAAAGATGAGTAAATAAATGACAGGAAAGTAAGAGATAAGAGATAAAGAGATAAATTAAGGTTTTGTCCAAAAGCATCTGAGCTTTATTTTACTGTATTTCATCAAATTAGTACCAGAAATAAATTTTTAAAAAATTTGTTACTGCAGCAGATCATAGAAATAAGCACTTGAGAGCTTCTTCTAGACAGTATCAAATACCAGGACCAAAGCATCACTACTCAGTGATAACAAGCAGTAAGTAATTGTCATTTTCAACACTCGCATTAGACATACATTGTAAATCATAGAGCATGAATACAAATAAAATGTAAACAGTCTATCCCTTTACAAAGCCAGCCTGACCCAAAACCTAAACAAAATCTAAGTAATTCTCTCGTTAAACATGTGTCTACTTTCTCCGAGAATTTCTCATTCCTTTTGCCAGAATCCGCTCTTGTTTACTGTTGTCTCCCCCAGTCTTACTCTCAGCAGATGGTCAGCTAATCACTAATCAAATAAATAATTAAAAAGTGTTCACTTTTAAGATGTTGAAAGACTCTTGAAACTGGAAAGCTTTATAATCCCCTGGTCAAGCAGATGGTCAGGTGAGCAGATGTGACTTCTTTGACTACTGGAACTTTTTATTGCTGCCATGTGGCAATCTTGCATGTGTACTAAGTTGCTTCAGTCAAGTCTGACACTTTGTGACCCCACAGACTGTAGCCTGTCAGGCTCCTCTGTTCATAGGATTCTCTAGGCAAGAATACTGGAGTGGGTTGCTGTGATCTCCTCCAGGGGATCTTCCTGACCCATGGATTGAACCCAAATCTCTTGAGTCTCCTGCTTTGGCAAGCGGGTTCTTTACCACAAGTACCACCTATGGCAATCTTACCTGCATAAAAAGGCAATATTTGTTTGACAGATCCAGAACTTCCAGGGTAAAGGATGTAGAATCCCATGTGAACTATCTAAACCCAGATCTGCCACTTGATGTTTTCAGTCATCCAATAAGTGCCTTATGTTTTTCCCACTTGTGTTTGGGTTTCTGTCAATTGCAACAGAAACTATTCTTTGTAATATACATGAAATGGCAAGAATAGTAAATGACATTTCATTTCATAAGTCATCCGTGGAAAAAATGATAATATCTGATTTAAAGGTTTTTCATAAATTTAAAATCATCATGTATTCCTATTACAACTCCTAACTTAAGTGGGTTTAAACTTGATTACTGTTAATTACAACAAATAGAATAAAAACAAATTCTAGTTATATGGTTAGATGTGGTTATTATGGTAACTCTGAAGAAAAGTTACAATCAGCTAACTGCCAGATGTAAAAAAAATAAAATAAAATAAAAATCTGGAAAGAATGGCATGTGTGTATCTTCTAAAAGGAGAAAAGTAAGGTTGAACAAAGAATTTAGTGTGTGATACAGTGTGGTGTGCTGTATGCTGTGCTTAGTTACCTCCGACTCTTTGTGACCCTGTGGACCCCGCCAGGCTCTCTATCCATGGGGATTCTCTAAGCAAGAATACTGGAGTGGTTGCCATGCCCTCCTGCAGAGGATCTTCCCAATCCAGTGATCGAATCCAGGTTTCCTGTATTGTAGGCGAATTCTTTACCAGCTGAGCTAATAATACAGTGTGATGTTATTTAGAAAATTCATCTGAAATAATAAGAAATAATAAGATATCGGTTGGATTCGTTTCGACAATAGAGATGAACACTCCTGCTTAATTATTTAATTTACTATGGAGAAATTAGATTTGCAGAAAGGATTAAAATCAGTCCAAGTATTTTTCCAATTTCTTCAAAAATAATTTAAGAATTGTTTCTCTTTCAATTCCATATCTAAGATCAAGATCAGGGAAGAGACATATTTCTTTATTATTTCTGCCACTAAAAATTATTCTTATTAGGCTAGTCTTCCATTCTTTGTAGTTCAGACACATTCATCGTAGTGGACAGCAGAGAATGCTTCTTTAAATACTGTCACATGCCAGTACCATTCAAAGAAATGCCCAAGGTGTCACCAGCTGAATCTCAGGTGAACTGCTAACTCTTTACCTGGAAAAGCTATGAAATAATAGCTACAAGAAACTACTGCCTAGGACAATAAAAGTGAATTCTGAACAATTCTGAGCTCATCTCTATTGTATTAGGTAGTTTCCATTTACAAGGGGAAGAAAATAATTTCTAATGAAAGAGAACAGGATGAGACAGTCCACTTCCTAAAGGAGATTAAAAAAAAAGGTATTTCTGGATGCACAATACATATAAAAATCTCAACAGCAGTAACATAGGAATCTTTATTGTACACCATACTGTGCCAACAATATGACACAAATACTCCCCAAAAGCTTATTTTTAATGTCCTATGAAAAAAATCATTTTCTTACCCTTAATTTTTATTTTTCTCTACCTAATTGTTCTGCTTACTCAAAGTTTCTATTACCTCATAACTTTGGCAAAGTCCATCATATCTTTCCAGCTGATTTCATTTAACTTTGGTACCTGCTGCTAAATGACTCATTGCCTCAGAATTTCTTAGTTCAAGAGAATCTCACTAACTGAGCTCATGGTTTGTGAGTCAGACCACATCACAGTTTCCTCATCAGCCTTTGGATCGACTGTTCTTGCCTCCAGTTGGGAATGACTAAGAAGGTGGAAACTGTGCAGTAAGATTTTTGTGAGGCAGGTTATCCTAGGAAGGAGTTAAGCTTACCAGGATAAGTTCTCTATGCATCCATGGAGAATAAGGCACTTCCATGATATAGATTAGGTCTTGTTAACCAGTAGAGCTGATTAGCAGAGGCTTCGCATGCTGCAGTCCAGGGTCACAAAAAGTCGGACATGACCAGGCTACTGAACAACAACAACCAGTAGAACAAACTGTCTACATCCTCCCCAGCACAGCTGCAAAGCTGCCCCTGTCTAACCCACTCCATCTATCACATGCCTTGTACATAGGCCTATATCATGCAAATAGAATGTTGTGCTGTGTATCAATTTCACCTCCTGCCTCTGAAGGTGGTGTCTAAAGGACCTATCAAAAGTTCTTGATGGTCTTGGAGTCTACTGGATAATTCTTGATTCTACAGAACTAAGAATTTATTCTTTTAAAAAGTTCTGATAGTGTCATGCACAGATGGAAGTAAAGATACAAAAAGAACCTTGATTATATTCTACACATTTCATGCTCAAGGGCTTCCCTGGTGGCTCAGAGGGTAAAGAATCTGCCCTCAAAGCAGGAGACCCAGGTTTGATGCCTGGGTTGGGAAGATCCCCTGGAGAAAGAAATGGCACCCCACCCCAGTACTCTCGCCTGGAAAATCCCATGGATGGAGGAGCCTGGTTGGCTGCAGTCCATGGAGTCTCGAAGAGTCGGGCACAACTGAGCGACTTCACTTTCACTTTTTCATGCTCAAATATACCCAAACAAGACCTGGATTTTTCCCTAGTCCTTTTATTTACTCTATGTCTCAATAAAGATGCCAAGTGTAAAAACAAAGACATTTAGTAGTCATCCAATGCCAATATTTTCTCTTTGACTAGTGGTCAAGACTATTTTATAGGAAAATGGTAGAGATAT